CCTATTTTCACCGATTCTACCACCACTACCACGCCCATGACCAATGAACCTCCTGTCACTATCAACGCATCTGATGCGAGGGTAGGGGCTTCGGGTTTCACTGCTGGTCATTCAACACCTCCTATTTCTCCTCTACGGCAAGACGATGAAGATACATTTTTCGAAGGTGATGGGTTTGGTTTTGAATCCTTTCAGTTCAGTCCATTCAGAGTTCAGGAGGATAGTGATGATGATGTCCCTGTTACTCAAAGACAGTTCAAGACTATCAACGAGAAGCTAGATTCGTTGATTAGTTCTTCTCAAGCTTCCACAAGTGATGTTTGCTATAAGGCCGCAGTTGAAGCCTTTTTCAAGGCCAATGCAAAAGAACATCAGGCGAATCTCGACAAGGCAAATCAAGCAGTTTCTGATTCAACTGCTATGTGCAAAGAGGTGACTGAAAAAGTTGAAAAACTCCTCTCTGAAGCTCAGGCCTTTATGACGACTTTAAAGACATCTGCTGAGTCCAATACCTCTAAGGCGAATGAGGCGATTGTAGGCCTTCAATCCTCACTACGAAAAGAAAAAGAAGCTCTTGTGCAGGTTCACACTGATCTAAAAGCTAATCACACTGAGTTACGAATCTCAATCTTTACCAAAATTGATAAGTTCGTTGACGATCTGGCAGTTGAAAGCAAGATTATGGACAAACTTGTTGCCCATACAACGACAGTCAAAGTCCACATTGCCAAACTCGCCCAAGCAAACGAAGAAATTAAAGAGCTACAGTCTGAACGAGCTGTCATTAAAAGCTATGTTTGTGATGTTAATGCTTTGCTCTCCAATATTCTTGATTCACATGACCCTATACTTCCAATCTCTATTCGAAGGCATTTGGCTGAAAAGTTTCGTCCTGCTCTTGCCATGCTTAATCGAATTGAGGGTGTTTCAGAGTCTCCCGTCCTTCCAAAACAAGGGGGAGAATCATCAAAAGAACCATCTCAACAACTTCCAAAGGCTAATACTGATACATCTGGTTATGATGAGCAAAAGCCGAAAGCCTCCAGCGAACCGAAGGTTAATGTAGCTTCGGGTTCTAAAGGCAAAGAAAAACTGGTGAACAGTGATGATGAAGAAGAAAGTGAAGTTGATAAATTGAAGATAAAGGCTCGTGATCAACTCTTAGATGAAAACGCTCGCATTGCGAGAGAGGCAGAAGCTAAGGAGCGAGCAGAACACGAAGCTCAGGTCACTTTGGAAAGTCGAAAGACTTTGTTTCCACCATGAACCTTGGAGCGAATCATTAATGAGGCGATTGATAATCCAAGCATGCATTGGTTGGAGCCTGTAACTTCCTTTGATCTGGAAAATTCGCAGGATTCTCAGTTTGACATGCCTATCACTCCGAGAGCATTTCTGTTTCGTAGTTTTGAAGCGACTATGAATGCTCCTGCATCAGATAAAAATGTCGATCAATCATTGATGGAGTTTTACTTGTCCCATGCCAAGCCTTAGTACCTCACATGGAGTGCACAAAAGATTACTGATGTGAAAGTCATAGGGCCAATTGAAACAGGGAGCTTCGTGAATATCAAATTCAAAACAGCAAGAGGATCTGAAAGTGCTGTTCACGAATTTTCATTGGCTGATTTGCCATTCCTAAATCCCTATGATTGGATTGTTTTAATGCATTTCCTTCTGAGAGAAGAAAAGAAGTACGAACCTGTTCTGGGGATCATAAAAAAAATGTTGATTTCGTACATTTATGAAGTGGCGAAGTTTGACATTGAAATCGCCTCAGTTCTGAAGAGGAAACCCACTGCTCCCCTTACTGGCAAGATGAAAGACATCAATAAGATGCAGATAGGGAAGATTGATAAAGAGAACTGGACCGTAATGTTTCATCATGGTTCAGGAGGTAACCTGCAAAAGTGCCTCTTCGCATTGCCCGATAAGCATTTGTTCTCTACAGTTTGCTTGGAGTTTATTTTAGACATCACATGTCAATGCAAACTGAATGATGAAGCTGCGAAGAAGAATTTCTCTTATATGATTCGATGGTACATTGCATTTCGCATGCATCTTCTCGCGGTCATTCCCAAGCTCTTCAAGACTACAAAGAAGATACAACAGTGAAGAGCCTCCCGCCTCAATAGACGCAAACGGGGAGATTGTTGGGTATATGTGTTGCGTCATTGGGCTTATTTTTTTTGTTCATTGTGTAATCGGGTTTGGGCCTGTCCACCCGTTCATTAATTATTAGGGTTTAGCTATTTAAGGTGCATGCATGCACCGTGTTTTGTAATCGTAAAATAGTCTTGTAACCCTACACGCATCTACAGTAGCAATTCTTCATCGAGTTCTTCTGAGGCGTGACTTTAAATCATTCGGCATATTTTGATCCATTATTGTGTTCTTGTTTTCTATTACCTGTTTGAATCTTTCGATCATTAGAGATTTTATCTCAACAGAGAAGGTTGTCTAAGCGTGAGAGGGAGGCTGATCTTTGAGGCATTATGTTCTTTATATAGTGTCCATCCCTAAAATTAGGGTTTTTCATTTTGACCCTCGTACTCCCCGTGTACCTTCTTGTACGCTCTACGTACGAGGCCGCATACCCCGACTCAAACCTCGCACCTACGTTGCGCGTTCTTCCCAACTACGCCTCGCGTAGACCTTTTTTCCTCGGTACGCCCCACGTACTAGGGTTTTCTCCCAAACCCTAACTCTTCCGAATGCCATAACTCACTCGATACAGCTCCGATCTCGACCATCCATATATCCATAGAAAGGCATCGAGACACTCAACACTATTATCAATTCATACTTGCCATCAGATATCCCGAATCTGAAATCCATTTCCCATAAAGCCCTATTGACAAATTATCGAAATACTCTTTTTGCTCCAAGTCACAACCGAATAACCAAAACATCCAATATAGCATCCACCTCCAAATGAGCCCAATAACTGACTTCATCAAGGATTCTAACCCTACTAATACCCAAACCTTGTTCACCATTTCGAAATGAAAATGTCTTGAAAACAGGATGTTACAACTCTCCCCCACTTAAATTAGATTTCGCCCTCGAAATTGCTCCTTGCTAACACTCAAATCACCCCAAACAACCCGAGAAGCGCAACAGAAAAATCAGAACGTAACATGACCTCCCCAAGACAACCGAATCCAACAGAAACCTCCAACCCAAAGAAAAATGAACCTCAATACTCTGCCCTCAAGCACTAAAAGAATGACCATGCTCGGTCGGAAATATCCTCTAATATCCATAACCATAAGCCCCAGCTTCCCTTCAAATGTCCCTTCCAACACTGAGTACCAGGTCAGTTCCCGACCCAAGATTTGAACCTCCGAGGCTACCCTAACACCTCCGACAATATGACTTCACAGTCGTTCTATCCAACTAAGCTGTCTTAACCAATCACACTGGACTCACAGTCACCAAGTTCGCTTTTCCCTAAGCGATTACTACAACCGAATTGAAGTCGCACCTCAACCAATCACACTGTTTACTATATTTTTCTCTCTAACTTATGTACATTTAAAAGCGTAATCATACCTCCAATTATTTTCTTTGTCCATACACCCACTATAAAATAACTCTACATAAAATAAACTAAGTTAACTGAAAAAGCAAGGGTGGTTCAATAACAAACAAAAACATAGATGTGGACGTTTATGTTGGGATGATGAAAAACGTTAGTATAAAGGCTTGCGAGCTGCAGATGGAAGAGTTCAAAGAGCTGCAGATGGAAGAGTTCAAAGAGTTCAAAGAGTGTTATATAATAGGATCGTACCTCATTTTACTATATGGACATCCTATTTATTTTTTAAAGTATTTATATTTGTCGAAGTTAAATTGTTTTTGGAAAAAATTAATTATATATAATTAAATATAATTTGACTTTTTTGAGAAGATATAAATCGGGGGTCAGTTTAGCAGCTTTCTAATTTGAACATAGACATGTTTTGGGTTGTGTGTTTCAAGCGCTGATAGCTAGGTATAATTCAATTCAAATACTCTATAAGAAATGCCTGTATTCGGCCACGTGTTGGTGATCTATAGGTGAGGCAAAGGGCTCAAAAGCATAGACCAAAATAATAATATTTTATATAAATTAAGTTTATTTTATGATAGTCACAATACTTCGTCTGACCGCCCAACTTGTGTTTCGACAAGTTTAAGGTAATCAGCCCAGCAGCCCTCAACACCCCTACCTGTCATATGTCAATATGTCATCACCTTTATCGATTACATAGTTTATTCCCTACTCTCGCGATAATTGGATCTCAAATACTGAAAATCACCATGTCCTTTGATTCCAAATAATGTAAACCAAAATATATACTTCTTTCCTAGTAAAATCAGAATCATTATCTTATTAATAAATAAACTGTTCTAATAAGAAATCCATAAACCAACAATTTTATATAAAATGATAACGGTATTTTGTATTATTTATAGTTAACCATTATTTATATGAAAAAGTAAACATTGCCAGAAAAATCTTACTATAAATTACGTTATCTAGTCATATTAATAAATGGATTTAGTACTTATATACGGTCGTCGGTCGTTTTAATATTTGATGATTAATTTAGCTGTCTATATTCCTTGAAAAGACCAGCTATCTCACACCCAAATAAGAACTCCTTCTTCCCTAAGAATCTTCAATACGGTAATTAAGCTCAAATTAGTAAGCTTTTTCTATATATGTAATCAAGACCCTTTATTTTCAAAGTATTTTCTTTGTCCTCTTTGCATAAATGATCTTACATGGAGACTTTGATATCTTTTTTTAGAAGGAAATTAACTTATAATTAGTTGAGGAAAATTTGGAATTGCATCTTTTTAAAGTTATAACCTGAAGAATATATGATTTCTTGGATTTTCCACTGATATATACGTACACTCACTTTTTTCCTGATTCTCTTTGCTTGTGGTTAATTTCCTTGATCTGATATCAACAGATCGAGAGCAGGTTGCTGAAACCCTACTAATTAATGGGGAGAGGGAAGATTGTGATTCGAAGGATTGATAACTCAACCAGCAGGCAAGTTACTTTCTCTAAGAGAAGGAATGGATTGTTGAAGAAGGCTAAGGAGTTGGCTATCTTGTGTGACGCTGAAGTCGGAGTCATTATCTTCTCTAGCACTGGGAAGCTCCACGAGTTCGCTAGCTCAAGGTTTGGTCAACTTTAATATACTTTTGATACATATACATCTCTTGTTTGACATGTATATATAGTTATCATTTGACCTTGGTCATGCGCAAATTAATGTTAGTTTGTCATACTGCAAAAAGGAAAAAACTAGGGCATCTATACCTGCAACTATATATATACGGTTTGTAGAGAGTAGAGGATGTCACTTTGGTCTCTTTTATTTTTTGGATCGACACATGTGTGGGAGTAGTCAATGATCAATTGATTTGATTCAAGTTGTTGTTTTGGAATAATAAATTTAACAGTAAATTGAAACTTGCTTTCTTATTGATTAAATCAGAAGGCATACATGAGTATATATATGTACTGGAAAAGAAAGGAGAACCCTAGATAAGCTAGGAAACGTTTGAAGCCCTTAAAATAAGGGATAAAGAACAGAAAATAGATAAAGTGCAAATAAGAGATAATCTCAACAAGGAAAGATGGTTAATATACAAATGTGCAGATAGAAGTTGATAGTTGCAGTTAGCTAGCTGCTTATTGGATCTTATTGTGTGTTCTTGAAAGCATAACAAAATGATTTTGCTAGCTAGAATTGCTTTGCCAATTGCCACCCTTTGACTTGAGAGGACAAAATCGTTAAAAGATGTGCATGTGAGGAAGAAATTAAAGGGTGATAAGAAATGGTAAAATTTCACTCTTTTGTGACTCTTGAGGAAGTATATATAAGTATATGTAGTCCTTGTTGGCGGTAGGAAGCACAAATCAAGTCTTACTATACGCATTCAAGAGTCGGTTTTTGATATCCGTGAAAGTTGAACTTTCATGAACCCAATACACGAAAGGCTGGAGATTGGAGTACTCATGAAAATGTTTAATTGTGTCACTTAATTAGAAGGGAGAATAGACTACTGCCCATGGGGATACTAATTAAAAATATGAGTATGTGGTTCAGCTCTGAGTACTTTCAAAACACATAGAGAGCAATTGAAAGTATGAGCTATGTTTTGCATAAATGGAGTCACAGATGCCCTGTAAGGGTGGATACATTAGCAATATGAAACTCAGCTTTATCAATTTGGATTCATTTTAACACATGCACTTAATTTATGCACATCAATCTCAAGTTTGTAGGAAGTTTAGGATTTTGCATGCAAGCACTATAATATATATCTAGCTGATTATTACCCTTAGCTTAATTTTAAGCGCAGGTTGCTGCTGTTGTTTAATGTTCGTTGTGGTGATGAAAATATTACAGTATTATTTTCATGCACCACGCATATAGATTACAATCTTCAAGGAGGCCAGTTCTCATTGTGTTACATTATATTATTTAAGTTATAACATACACATGCATATTTTAATCTTCTGGTCTATTCTTTTCAGCATGAAAACAGTTACTGAGAGGTACAACAAAGTGAAGGAGGAACATCATCAACTGTTGAATCTTTCTTCACAAGCCAAGGTACGCATTGTTTTATAACTTTATTAGCTTTCCATCAATTTCATGCATCATCAAGGATAGCTTTAGTTTCTTTTTGGTTTGTCTGCTCTATCTGGGAAACCTGTGATACATGCAGTTAACATAATGCAACATATATAAATAAATAATCACAATCTTTATAAGTAACATAAAAGTGCATCAAGAGGATATTAGTCGGTAACAGGACTAAGTTTATTACCATACAAAAAGGCTTAGCAGCGCGGCTTGTTACCCGTTTGTTTTCTCACTCGTTGTACTGTGATATCTATTAACGGATTATGTAAAACTTTTTTGTAAAATATAGTTAGGTTAACCCATAGCTTGTTCAAAAATCGGGGTTGGAAACAATGTATATTGATAATCAAAATCAGATATCGTATATATCATGTAGTCACTTCCCTTCTACAATAATTTAACCTTATTATGTATGGGTATCACGAATTTTATAATAGGATAATCCAAACTAGATAGGAACTTCTTATTTGGGCAAAAAGAAGAAGTCTTTTCTAAATTCGTATAAAGTTTGTTCTAGAATTAGAGATCATGGAAATCTGGTAATAACATGTGATATAAGATTAAGATCTTAGTAGTCCAGAATCTTCTTCGACAATCCAATCGTGTAAAGTCCAATTTTCCAAAATGTTATGTGAAAATAAAATCACCAACATTCTTTTGAATAAAAAGTCTGTTTGTATGTTATTTAAATAGGCTAGCAAGCATATGGGAAAATAAGGAAATACAGTCCTTAAAAAGGTTACAACACCATGCATGCATACCAGTCAAGCACTTTGCTTTAATTTACTATGTATGGCTTTTAATTAATCCACAAAAAAACTAGGACATATAGTTGGGATTAAACCCAGAAAACAATATATGTGGAAACTGCTGTGCTACTAATTAATTTACTAAACTAACCCTAATAATAATATTAAGTCTTAGCTAACATATGTGGAAACTGCTGCTTCTAACTAATTTACTAAACTAATTAACTTGTAGCGGTTTAGACTTCATCTTCTTGAAGTCCCCTTCCTTCCACACATCATTCAAACCTTCAACTTGCATCAATAGAAGCAACCATCTTGTACGTATCATACATCAAACAAACAAACGATTTCCTGCATTTGCTTTCTGCAAGTAAAATAAATCTCACCAAGATTTTTTTACTTGGTTTCGCACACCCCACATAGAAAAGCTTGTCTTCACAAAAAACAAACAAGCCTTCATATCAATTTTTTTACTTAGAGATCATCGCTCAAAGTATTTTCCTTTTCGGATCTTAATTATACACACACCGCCTTAAAATTGATTAGGGTCAACCCTACCAATCAAAAATCGAAATATTTGAGTAACACCCAAATTAACTTTTTCATTTTTATATGTAGTATCATCATACATGCACAACTTAATTCTCTCTCTCACATAATATATGTGTTTTTCCTTTGACCAATCTTTGTTATTCCATGCATCTACTTACGAAGTGAGATCAAATTAAGATATCAAAATCGATCCTGGAAGCTATATCACATGCATAAGAACTTGTAGCTTTTCTCGTTTTATTGGAAACAACTACAAATATGCAAATCTAAGATTCACGGCATACAATATGCGATGTATTTTCTACACGGACCTTAAAATTATCAAGGCTCTAATAGGACTTTGTTGGATTAAACCCAAAAAAACAACATATGTAGAAATATGTAGAAAAGTTTCAACATATATACCCACTGAAAAAGAAGGACAAGGGTTCTTGAAAACAAAAACTACGATTTTATTAACCACTTCAAGAACAACTCAGAGTACATTCATTCAAATATATATCTTACAGAGTTGGCTGAGAGAGACAACACAACCCTTCGAAATTGTTGTGGCTTATTGAACCGTCGTTTCTCCTTGTTAGTGTAAGTGCAATAAAAACAATATAGCAATCTGATGCTTTGGATGCTAATGCAAGCGTAAACTCCAAGCAGGGACAGAAAAAGAAAAAAAGAAAAATTACTTAGAATGCAAGAATTAATTTGGAACGAGACTTACAACTTGATTGATATGTACTAATAATATTGGACTCAATATAGCACAAAAGTTACATAAAGGTAACTTTCCTAAAATAATGAAACTTTCCTAAACCGATTAATCCAACAATCACCCACTTAATCTGTTTGGTCATACCACTCGTTCACGATGTCCAAAGTCATCCCGATTTGAACTTCCATTGCCACAATGCTTACAAACATGCGATTTTTCTTCACCGTCCAACAACAACCCACCTTTAATGTCTTGCACTTTCTCTGTTCCTTTTATACGCTCCTCTTATGCCTTCAATCTACCAACGGCTTCATCGAATAGCATCGAATCCAACTCGAAACATTGTTCTATTGAATCCACGATTTAAAGAAATGACTTAGGAAAATAGGAGGGAAGGAAAAAAAGGACAAAAAAAAAAAATTCATCCTTTTCTTCTTCCCTCCTATTTTCCTTTGTTTATTTTACCTTGGTGAACAAGGTGTAGGTCTGAAGCAACCCTTTATTGCCTACACTTGGTATCATAATGGTTCGGTTGAAGGGGGTATGAGTCAATTTTGATCACAAGTTGAAGCATCTCAACAGCAGCGCCGATTTCTGTTGATCGGGTTTGTTCGAACGATAGCAAGAGACTAACCGGAGGTGCGTGACAAACAGATGGAAAGACATCAACGCAGGTGGCTTTAATTCAGTTCTTTTTTACGGGTGACAGAAGATAGTAAAGGTGGTCGTGACCTTGTTTTCTTGATGGGTAGAAGAATGCTCTCGGAATAAGCTTGATTAAAGAGTTTGGGGCTGTCAAAAGGGATAACAGGATGTCGATAGTTAAAGAAAGAGGTTCAATGTCATATCAAGTTCTGGTTTTGGCCTCAACGAATTATCCGTTGTGGGCAGTCAAAGTCAAGTTGATTATCGATTCACACGACATATGGGAGATGGTTGAATTGAGAGTGTTAAGTGAAGCATAAGATCGAAGGAAGTCAAAACAAGCTCTTTCTTTTTTTTTTCAAGTGATCCCGACGATATGGTATTGCAAGTGGTGAGTTACACCATCCCAAAACAAGTGTGGGATGGGCTAAAAAAAAGGGTATTCGAGAGTGAATCGGGTGAGAACGGCTCGACTTGCAACCTTAAAGAGGGAGCTTGAAAGTTTACGCATGAAGGAGGGTGAAATTGTTGATAATTTTGTGACAAAATTATCTGGTTTAGCCTCAAAAACAAGGAGCCTTGGATATGAGCTTGAAGAAGTGGATTTGGTGAAAAGGTTACTAGACTCAATGCCTAAGTCATTTCTTCAAACCGTGGCTTCAGTAAAGCAATGTTTTGAGTTGGAGTCAATGTTATTCGATTATGTCATTGGGATATTGAAAACATACAAGAAGCGTATCAAAGGAACCGATAAAGTGGTGGACATTCAAGGTGGGTTGATGTTGGCTTGTGAAGGAAAATCACATGTTTGTAAGCATTGTGGCAATGTAGGTTCAAATCAGGATGACTTTGGACATGGACGGGGATGAGGGCGTGGGACTGGGAAGAGTCGAGATGGTAATGAACGTGTTCGGGATAAAATCCATGTTAAATGTTACAAATATGGTGAGTTTAGTCACTACAGCAACGAGTTTCCTAAATGGGAGAAATAAGAGGTAATTCTACTCGAAGAAGAACCGACACTACTGTGAACGAGTGACATGATCAAACCGATTAAGGGGGTGCTTGTTGGATTAATCAGTTTATCACCATACGACTTCAAAAAACATGTTTTAAGTCTAGGGGCAATTTTGGAAAGTTACCATATTTAAGTTCTATTTTTATTTCCTGCATAGCTTTAGAGTTTGATTAGGATACCTTTTTATCTAATATAGATAGACGTAGTCGATTTCTTTGTAATATATCCATGAAGTCTTTTTCATTTTGATAAAAGTTTAGTCTCCAAGCAATCTCCTATTCCCCTATTTCTACCTATGTCGATCTCTTTTTTCTAATTTTGTCCTTGTTCTTCTTCACTCTTTTTTTACCTTTGTGAACAAGATGGGGCCTGAAGCAGTCCCTTATTGCCTACACTTGGTATCAAAGTGGTTCAATTGAAGGGGCGTGAGCATATAATTTTTACAACAACCCATTTGTTTACACTTGGTATCAGAGTGGTTCGGTTGAAGGGATGTGAATTGGTTTTGATCGCAAGTAGAAACATATCAACAATAGCCCCAATTTCTCTTGACCGGACTTGTACTAATGATAGTAAGAGACTAACCGAAGGTACATGATAAACGAACGGAAATACATCAAAGCATAAGGCTTTGATTCGGTTCATTTTTATGGGTTACGGAAGATGGTAAAGGTGGGTGTGACCTTGTTTTCTTGATGGGCGGAAGAGTGCTCTTGGAACAAGCTTGATTAAAGAGGTTTAGGCTGTCAAAAGGGAGAATAAGATGTCTATAGTTAAAGAAAGAGGTTCAATGTCGTATCAAATTCCCCTTTTGACTCCAATGAAGTCTCCAGTGTAGGCATTCAAAGTTAAGTCGATTATAGATGCACATAACCTATGGGAGACGGTCGAATCAAGGACGTTAGGTGAAGCATCGAATCAAAGGAAGTCAAAGCAAGCTCTTGCGTTTTTGTTTCAAGCGATACCCGAAGACATGGCGTTAAAAATGGTGAGTTAGACCGACCCAAACACAAGTGTGGGACGGGCTAAAAACACGGCAATTGGGGATGGATTAGGTAAGAACAGATTGACTTGCAACTTTAAAAGGAAGCTTGAATGTTTAAGCATGAAGGAGGGTGAAACGGTAGATGAGTTTGTAACAAAATTATCTGGTTTATCCTCAAAATCAAGGAGCCTTGGTTACGAGCTTAAAGAAGTAGATTTGGTGAAAAAAGTTACTTGCTTTGATACCAAGTGTAAACAAAGGGGTTGTTGTAAAAACTTATCCTTATTCACCAAGGTAACAGTAGGAAAAAAAACATGTAGGAATAAAAGAAGAAAAAACAAACATTGGATTAAGAAGGTTGGTGCCTAAGGCTTTTCTTTATTAAGAAAACAAAAGGTTTTAAATTGATTACAAAATAAGGATATTAACCTATTTA